CCCCACCCCAAAACCCCAAAACCCCAAAACCCCGAGAACTTATTTAAAAGTTGAAGAAATTAATCATTTATTCTTAATAATATTTTATTGATAAATGCTAGGTAAATATGAAAGCAATAATGGAACTAAAAATTATGAAGAGGAAAAGCATCAACAACAAGCTGATGGAGTTAAGGTAAACTATAATGTCCATCAGAAGCCTTTGAACTTGACGCTAAACTCTCTTAGTATGGAGATGATGACAGCATCGACTCCTTCTCCTTTTTCTACACAATACAAGAAAATGGAGAATATGAAACATGGGTGAGAAATTCCAGAGAACTTTCAAAGACTTGGGATAAACTCTTCCTCTCATCCTCTCTCTATGCATAATCCTTCAATAGGTACTGAAAATGCCTATCAGCCATTAGCATCTTTATCTCTTCCCAATTATTCACCTTATTTGACTCCACCAGTCGGCCAAACCACTCAAATGTTCTTTCCTACTACCTCAAAATTTCACCCTAATGCAGTAAAAACTAAACTGCAAAGTGAGAAAGCCAAAAGCCTGGCTTCCAAAAAGAAGAGAAACAAAAGGAAGAAATGCAATGGAGTCTACTGTACTTGTGGTCTCTCCGAAGAAGATGCTTACTTGGCCAATTACATGTTCAAGAAGAACAACGTTAAGTTTATGGAAGAACTTCAGCCTTTTCATTATGAAATTTGCGAGAAGCGCACAGAAGTTACTAACAAGAAAGCTTTCGAATTTGAATGCAAGTTTAATGGCAACTGCAATATGAGATTCGAACGCGCTTGGAACCTACTAGACCACTGTAGGATGCACTATGGTATCAAGCCCTTCCAGTGTGAAGAGTGTGGGAGAAGCTTCACTCAGAGAGGAAATCTGGGGAAGCATAAACTCACTCATAATAAAGAAGAATAAATTGTTCCTTAAGAAAAATTTTGAATTTAAATTCCTTTCAAAATAAACCTTTTTAAATTACCGAAACTCGACTTTTTGAATTCTTCGGTGGTAGAGTCTCTAACGTTGGGAAAGTTTAAGCCGAAAATACTGAAAGTGGTGAAAATTAAATCATATTTGGAAATCATTAATAATAAAAAATACCAATCATGGTGAAGTGCCACAAAAACGTTAAATCAAGATGCTCTAAGTATTATTGAGCGTACGGAATCGGAATTCGTGCTAGGATTTGAGTTAAAATTATGCAAATTGAGGTAATAGTACAACACTTGTATTTTAGAAATAATTCATTTTTCTACCTCGCCGTTTGAATCTGAGCTTCTTTTTAAAGGTGAAATATTCATAGGTTATAAAAATCTCAATGTACAATTTAAGCTAATGGATTTCTCAGAAATTATTGTAGATACTCTTATTTGAATATTTCAGAACAAATTAAAGCAATGGGTGCTCTCTCCGGTCACCAATCTCTCATTGATATATCCACCCAAAATAAAATAATTGAAAAATGGATAAAATTTCTATACCAATTTCTGTCACTTAAATGTAAGTGCTAAAAGGAGAATAAACTGTCCAAATTATTCTTATTCTTATTAATCATCGGCTCGAAAGCTCACAGATCATTTCCTTATAAAAATATCCTGGAGTGCAAAGATTGAGGAAGCTAAAATTACTTACTCAGATTTCCACTAAATTTATGAGCTTAAAATTTCAGAGAAAAATTATGCCCAGAACTTTATTTAAAGACATAAGAAAGTACCAGTTAAAATGCCGAATCTGAACACGGATTATAGAAAATTTAAGAAGAATTTCATTAAAATATTCATACTGTCTGTTTTAAGCCGAAATCACCGTACTATCAAATTACAACAGAGAGGGTTTTAATAAACACCCAGAGTCCCAAATATTTCTTAAAAATAATTATTTATGAACACATTTTTTAATCCGAATAATATGAATAGAAAATTCATAAGCCAGCAGAATGAATTATTAACCAACCAAGACTTAATTTCCAAAAATTTGCTAAAAATTGTTCCTAAACCTAATACTCCCTCCCATTTCTCACCAATAATTTCCCAAAACCCCCAACCCCGCCACCCAAAACCCCAAATTCTAACCCACCAACCCCCCCCAAAACCCCAAAAATGTCCTCCCTAAATCTCCTATTCCACCTCCGAAATCCCCAAAATTTCTTCTTCTACTACTCTTCCGTTCCTTAAATTTCCAAGTTCAACTTCTGGATTAGTTCTTGGGGTTTTGGGGTTTTGGGGTTTTGGGG